GCATCTCGCGCTCGAGATTCCTCAAACACAAAAACGCGTATCATTTTTTGACTAAGCAGAACTGCCAGGATAACCACGGCCAGCCAACAAAAACAGATCCGCAGTGGAAACAGGCCGAGAAATGGCGAGGCGAAGGAATGTTCAAGGCCTCAAAGGTATGAAACCATCGAACATCTACCATTGAAGCGTGGGAAGCTGACCGCAATCGACAGAAGGCCGCTCTGAAAAGGCGGAAAAGGAAGCACCGGAGCTTCACGAACTTCACGAGGACAAGAAGATGAGCCAGCATTCGAAATGGCTGATGCTGGCGCTTGCTAGTGGTGCATTTGCTGCCATGAATGGGCTGTTTGCCAAGTTGTAGGTCTTTGGTTGTTATTTTATAATGTTTGATATTTGCCTGTGGTGATACCTCAGGGAAATCGATATACAATTATCTATATATGATTCCCTGCTGATAATGTTATAGAACTACGACCGAGCTCACCACTAGCATCTCGCGGGCAATCTCGCACATCTTCTCGTCATCAAAGGAGACCACGACACTTGATGTAATAGTGGAATACCTTGTTCGAGCTGTACGTCTACTATTCCAAACATCATGGAATTCTGGGATTACCTAGTTTGCATGCTGATTAGCCCTTTCAGGCCTTCTTTGGGTTGAATCTACTCTCTAATTTCATTATGTGGACGCTTTTTACTCGTGCCCTGACTGCATCCCCATCAACCACCAAGGTGACCATCACCAATACCACTGCAAATTTCCTGGTCACAGGTGTACTAGGTATGCTTGTCTTTAGGGAGAAGGTAAATGCCCAATGGTTAATTGGTGCTACTCTGATGGCTGCTGGGTGTATTATCGTTGGCATGCGAGAGAAGCAGAAAGAAGAAGAATCCCCCAGAACCAGCGCTGGGGTGAATGAAGGAGAAGATATAGGACTTGCTGGAAATAGAAAATTAGATGAGGATGATGATCTAATAGCCCTTGAGCAGGATTAAGGTACTTTTGTATATAGGAGATCGATACTACTTGGTCGGTTCTTTCGATATAGGATGTTATAAAGTGGGTGGCATGCAATATAAATCTATCGTGTCATACATAACTACCATTACAGAAATTAAAATCCAAAAATTAAAAATAGCAGCCCTAATGGTCCCGTTCTTCCAATTCAAAATGGGTATCCACATCCTCTGTACCGTCAATTATCTCCACGGATTCATGTCTTCGCTGTTCCTCCTGGGAAACCTGTGTATAGCCTCCTGTCCCGGAAGTAGTTCCTTTTCCTATAAAAATCTTCTTCGCGAGCCCGCTAGCCCACAAAATAAGCTGCCATGCCTTTTTTTCTACTATACCTTCTTCGGGACCAGCATGGATACTAGCAGTAACATCACCGGCCGTGGCAGCGTTGGCATCTGCATGCTCTTGATGTTCCACCTTAAATTGATACTTTAAGCAATCCTTCACGGTAACAAGGCCCGATAAGTGACCACGGTGCTCAACCAGTATAACTCTCGGGCCCATCTTTTTGAATATTTCCATCACTGTCTCGAGGGCGAGACGAGGATGAACGGTAATCGGAGCCATATCAACGTACGGGCTCAAATCGATCACTTTGATACCTGAGGATGATGCTATATCATCGAATGTAACGGGTGCTGCCCCTGTGCGCCACTCATTTTCCAGATGAGAGGAAGATGAGGCTGTAGAGGGCCCGAATAGGTCGTTGGTCGGGGAGCTTGATGCAGGGCCACCGCTGGTTGAACTTTGCTGGCGGACAAACTGGCACCTGGCATTGGGTGCCAATAGCCCCTCCCGTTTTGCACGTCTGATTGCAAATTGAAGTTCCGTGCGGCCAATGTAACCGACTAAGGTCATCGAATCAAGATCTTGGACGATAGGAAAGCCCTGGAATTTGTGCTTTTGAAGCATTTGTTCGGCCTTGTTTATCGACAGGCCTGCCTCGGTGAACACAACAGGGTTGCTTGTCATGGCATGTGAAACTGGGACGTTAAAAATATGCTCTTCCTTGCTATCAAGGAATGGGAATCCATTGAACCAAATCATGCGATCAGCAATACCTCCTTTGCCACAGTGGTCACTAACAGCTTTTGTAACTCCAACAACAATCTGTTCAAAAGTCAATCATACGTTAGCAAGTCCATTATCAGCAATCCCCCTAATATAATAAATAATTAATGAAATGGTTAATCATATTGAAATCTTACCATTGTAGGGAGAATATAAGTCAATGCGCCTGTTAGCTCATACATGATAACCGTCACTGATATGGTTAAATGCATTATCCCACTTAGAGCAGCGCCGGCACCGAGAAGGGCATAGGTTCCTGGAGTAATACACGGAACATCGGGTTCACAAGATGCGAAAAACTGGGAGTCTGGAAATCGTTGGTGGAGCGCTTGAACAAGGATCCCAACCATTCTTCCGAACGAGGCACCAATTGCCATAGAAGGCACGAAGATACCAGCAGGAACCTTGCACCCGTAGGATATGATAACAAAGAATATGCGTAGAACAGTGGCTCCTAGGAGAGAAAGGACCATCGACCAGCGGTTCTTAGCCCTATTTGCTGAGTTAGTATGGCCTTCAATCAGGATGCTAGGAAAATACTGACTGGCAAATTCCATTGTAATCATGTGGTCCCTCGCACTCCCTAAAGAGTATTTCCATCATCTCGGTCATGTTGATCCTCAGGAACATATTTGGATAGCAAACCAGAGCTGTAAGGCCAGCTAGGGCTGTAGCCTCGATAATTGGATGCTTTGACAGATATTTCTTCCTGAATGCCTGTGCTCGTAGATTCCACTTCATGACAAACGCGCCATACAAGCCACCAAAAACCCCAAGAATAATAAAGAATATAATCTCGAACGAGTGCCATGATCTATCATATTGAACCTGGAACATGACGAGCTGCCCCGTTCTGAATGGATTTATTATCTAGATAATGTTAGCACTGACATATAAGTCGATATTGCGTATGACGTACAGCAAGGACGCCGGTTGCTACCAGAGCACAGAAGTAACTTCTCCAAAGGGTCTTCAGCGGGAAGTAAGATGCCATTTCCTGTAGCTCCAGTTAGTTACTAGGTAATACCCGATTTAATCATTGACACACCTCAAGAGAGAACAGCACTCCGCCGATGGGACTTCCGAAAGCAACTGCAACGCCCGCAGCAGAGGTTACAGTCAATATCTCTCTGGTTTTAGCGGCGTTTCGTTTATATTTGCCGAACCAACGAGATATCACATTGCCTGTACAGACTGCAAAGTGGACACTGGGGCCTTCTTTACCAATTGCAAGGCCAGAGCCAATAGACAAAGGCAGAGCAAGTGACTTTATCACGAGAGTTCGGGCACCAAGGAATCCTTTCATGATGAAGCCGGCAATGATGACTTTGATTTCAGATATACCGGAACCCGCAGCGTACGGAGCAAATGCATTCACAAGTTTGGCCGAGCAGAAAGCAAAAAGAATCTAAAGAAAAGTTAGGCCGTTATCCGAAGCACATTAGCAAGCCGGTAGGGAGAGGTCCTACAGCAAACATGAAGTAGACAAAGTAATTGATGAGAGAGAAAGTACTCCACCGCTTCCACTCGGGGCAACCTTGACATATATATGGTCAGTTAATGGTATACAAGTATCACATATATCAAAAGGGGCTGCCTACCGTCATCTGCGCCCCAACAGCAAAAGGCTTCGTTTAGGTAGAATCCAGTAGTACAGTATCCAAGCTTTACGTCTGCCAGCCACTCGGTGACAATATTCAGAAACCCGGCATTGAGACCGATGGCTACACCCACGATCGTCATCACTAGCCATGCCTGGCCTGCATCGTAAGCTTCATCGAGCTTCCGTCTCCAGCCATAGGCGCCCTCCTGGTCCCAGAACCGAGCCCCCTCAGTCCTCCATATGCGTCGACGAGCCTGCTCCTGGACAGCATCCTGGACCCAGTCAATCGTAGTGAAGTCCTCATATCGTTTTATCTCGCTGATTTCCTCCGTTATTGCTGTCTGCCTGACGTCTACGCCCGTGGAGGTAGCAGCTCCGCCAGCCGTCTGGGCATGATCGTGGGTGGGAAGGGAGTAGCTCGACGCCCGTCGTGCCTGGAGATTGGACGGTATAGGGGGGTTCGAGGAACGGTCCTGCGATCTGGGACCGGCGGACGAGGACGAGGAGCGGTGTCTCGGGTTCATGACACCGATCTATATGCTGGGTATCATCACTATGACCATACGCCTGCCGACACAATCTAGCAACCAAAAGCCAAAGACCGGCGGCGGGAACGGAGTAGCTATTCACTTCGTCGAGGATCGTTCCAAGGCCGGCCGGGGAGAAACCGAGTTAACACCGTCGAGAGATGCAAGCTTGGTGCAGGCGCAGGGCTGGAGCTGAAGGCGTCGCAAGGCCGCAGTCGGTGGTTGTTTTCGTTTCTTTCTTGCTGGCTGTCGCTGCCGTAGCCGTGCTTGGCCAAGAAAGCGCAAAAAGGGCGCCTGTCGCTTGTTAAAATGCTAGCCGTCGTCTGGCTGAATAACCAACTACACTCTGGACACATCCACACGGGGGGCGGACAAAGCAATTCGAGGGCAGCGACACAGTGATAGACCCTTGAAGCTGTGTTGCTTCATTATAACTACTTCCTGCTCCTCGCCGCAGCCGCAGTTGAGTCGAGGATGCCGCCCGCCAAAGCCAGCCGGGAGTCTTCAGGCGAAGCAACTGGCCACACATCCCTGCCGTGTATGTACAATGCGTTCTACAGGTCAAGGTACCTACAGCTAACAGGAGGCATCTACAGTGGCAAGGATAAAACGGATCATTCGAGCGGACGAGGATATAGTACAATGCTCTACGAACGCGACCTTCCTTATCGCTGTGGCGACAGTAAGAACTCCCATGAGGACGAGGACGAGGAGCAGGGAGCGGGAAAAGAAGGATTCGGTCATGATGCGAGGGCTAACACTTTACTGGCGCACTGTGTAGGAGATGTTCGTCCAGTATCTCACGGAGCAAGGATATAATGTGGTCAAATCCAACAACCTGAAGAACCTACGATACGCAGACATAGGTATGCCCCTCGCAAATGTCTCTACTGGGTGATGTATGCTGATAGCCTATGCTTAGCCACTGCTGTTTCGCGTATCGACAACCTCGAATTCCTATCGGACGTGATACCGAAGACGACCACGTACGGGAAATTCAAAGAGAAGCGGGCAAAGGAAAAGGCAAAGGAAGACGGCCAAGTTGCGAACCAGCGGACGCTAAAGGAGATGCAAGTACGCCAGAACGGGACGCCAGAGCACTCGCGGGAGGAATCAATGGTCGACGTAGGCGAGCAGAACGTGAACGAGCTGTCTCCCCGTCCGCCGATGGTCATACACGCCTCGCGATCCCGGAGCAGGCTGGTCGACGAAGGCTCAGCCCAGAAACGGCCGAGCAAGGACAACGATGACGACGACGTCGAGATGGCACTCTAAACACATGAATGCATTTTTCCTTTTCCTTTCCCTTTCTTCTCTCCGGGTCGGGCGTGGGGCGGCGTCTGGCTTGTTATATATTCGACTCATTACCCATTGGCTGGTGCATGGAGCAGGCATAAATGATACATAATAACACCGTCATTTCCCTTGCCTTTTGCCCCTCTATTCTCGTAGCAATCCTTCGTAACATATCACTTGCGCATTGCGGTCGTCGAGTAGAACATTTATAATATTGTATCTGTCGGGTCTGATGTGGTGCAGTCCCGGCCAGCCAATCAGTGCGCGGATGATTCCGGCCCTTCGACAGAAAAAAACCCAAAACCGACGCAACTTCATCGAAACTCCAACCTCAACCTCTCGACCAGCTCGACCATCCAAGCCACCACCACCGCCCCCAGACCGACCGACGTCTGCGTGCAAGTCTACCGGTTGCGCTCAATTGCTCGTCTCCAGGCTCGCCATGTCGCCTCTCGCCGCCTCTTCCGCCAGCTCGCTCCGGGCGTGTGCCCGACATGCCAGCGTTGTCCCTCGCGCCCTCGCTGCCTCTTCCATCGCCCAGCAGCGACGAGGAGGAGCCTCAGATGCCTCCGCGAGTGCTTCGTTCGATAGCCCGTTCGCCAAAAGCAGCGGCTCTTCCTCGACCTACAAGATTCCTAGCTTCGGCAAATATGCGAGCCCTCGTCGTGAGAGTACAAACAAGACCTTCTCCTACTTTGTTGTTGGTTCCATGGGCATGATGACCGCTGTCGGCGCTAAGGCTACTGTCCAAGGTGCGTTCCGTCTTTATGTTGGCTGATGCTGGCCGTCAATTGGGGGATGGGAAAGTGGTGGTGGATGAATAGACCAGGTGTGGACTTTGTGACTTCGGCTGACATGTCCGGGCTTCTTACAGATTTCCTTCTCAACATGTCTGCCTCTGCCGACGTTTTGGCCCAGGCCAAGGTCGAAATCGCCCTTAACTCGATTCCAGAGGGCAAGAACGTGCGTTACTACCCATATACCTACACACCTCCGCACATATTATTATTATTATTATGCCCCTTTATACTCACGCCACAACGTTAGGTCATCATCAAATGGCGAGGAAAGCCCGTTTTCATCCGTCACCGAACTGCCAGTGAAATTCAGGAAGCCCAAGAGACCAAGTGGGAAAATCTTCGAGACCCCCAGCCAGATTCTGACCGTGTCAAGAACCCCGAATGGCTTATCATGTTGGGTAAGTAGCCCAATTATCTTTGACTCGGCCCGGAGTTTGAAGTTATCTTGTCTAACATATACGTAGGCGTCTGCACCCATCTTGGATGCGTCCCAATTGGCGAAGCTGGCGACTTTGGCGGCTGGTTCTGCCCCTGCCACGGCTCTCACTACGACATCTCTGGCCGTATCCGAAAGGGTCCGGCTCCATTGAACTTGGAGGTTCCAATCTATGACTTCCCAAGCGATGACACCCTCGTCATTGGTTAAGCGGACCGTTTTCAATTCTAACCAACCGATACACCTTAACTTTCAGCAATCACCGAGTTGGTTATGTTTCGGCCCTGGGAAAGCAGACCCAAGAAAATAGACGTCACAATACAAAATAATGCGCTAGCATCACTATGGCCTCATTTCTACTCGTCACCCGGTCCTCCTATTACTCGCGGGATGTAGTGATTTCTCTGTTCTAGACGGAATTGTACAACTCATCTCTAGGCTACTCCGACTTTTTGATTTTGCTTGGAAGTCTGTCCATACCTGTATTACTTCCCCCGTTTTTTTCCCTATGTCTTACCTACCTGCTCTATTTCAGGGCTTTTTAGCCTCTTTGTTTCCTTGTCTGCATCTCCAGTTTCCCTTGTATTATTCTCCATATATAAAGCCCTCCTCCGCTTTCATGTATTTCTCTTCCCTCTCTCGAACTAAAATATACAGGAATCTATTGATAGAAATAATGAGCATGGAAGGTTAGACAAACTTCAAAACTAAAGATAGGGAAATTTGTGGTTGTTTCTATTATTCTACATGTCTAGATAACGTGTCAAAAGGCCGCTCTATGTACAAATGGTATACAGTCTATGTGGGATCTTCACTTTCTCACACTTCCATCTTTTTTTCTTTACCCAAACTCATCATCAAGACCCATAACCAGGCAACATAGGTATTCATCACTTAGCTTAGCCGGGAAATGGCAAACAGAATGCCGCCCATTACTGCAGCACCTATCGCCGCACTTTCCAACACCACGGTGGTCAAGTCTCGCTGTAGGATAGTAACACGTCGTTCAGTAAAGAAAGCCTGAGACGTCTTCTTCCAGGCCTCAGGTGCTAGGTCGAGATCCGGCGGAAGCATGGGTGTCAGAGGCGGTAATTCTGGTATCGTTGATTCAGCCTCTACAGAGGGCTGCGTATGCTTTCCCTCCGCAGGTATCTCAGTAGCGGCTTCAGATTTATCCGTCGCTTCTGGTAAATCTGACGTATCTGATGCTACATCACCAGCATCTTTCTCGGGCTCAGAAATCGGCTTCTCTTGTGCAGCAGCCGCGGAAATTTCTTTAGCATGCCGGCTATTCTCTTTCTCCAATGCCTCCGCGACTTTTTCTTCAAACCCTTTGACCAGTCTCCGCCGCCTCCAAGGCTCAACGGCAATCTGAAAGACTAAGAAAAGCAGTACATTGACACCCATCAGGCCCCACGTACCCCATGTACTCATGCGTCGAATTTTATCGGACCAAACCTGCTCTTCATGATAGCGTGTCAGGATATTTTTGCTTAACTCGGCAGTTGCTTCCTCGGCTTCACGTTCGGCATTCGAGAGCGCTTCCTGTGTTTCTATCTCTGCCCTCTCATTGGCATGATCGGATCGGTAAAGAGAGGTAAATCGTTCAAGATCTGTAGGCGTCCAAGCATGTTTCCTCTGCAGAAGTTCATTGACTTCACGCTGGGAGGCGGAACGGCAGTGTATAGCTGAGGAGTAGGCTTCCTTTGCTCGACGAACTTTCTCACGAGTATGGCGCACTAGTTCCTCTATATATTAGACGCAGTTAGAGCAAATTCTACTAAACAGTAATGCCGGAATACTAGCACACACCTTGGGCCCGAATGTCCTGCTTCAGTTTCTCAATAACAGTGTACCCAGTAAGGTCGTTTAGATGCTGTCCGGCAACAAAGATGTTGGACTGCAAATTATCCATTAATTCTCCAAATTTCTTCGAGAGATTTGACCGTAGATGCTCCTCCTGAGAAGGAAGTTCACTTTTGTTGAAGGCCGGTGGTTTTGCCGGGCTAGGAACATCCGCTACCGCCCCGTCCTCCTTGCCATCCTTGGCTGTTGCCTTTTTAACCCCTTCCTGGGTATCTTTGTCATTATGAGTGGAATAGAGCCTCGAATGTGCACGCAATTGACATATTAAGCAAACGAATGCATTGTTCCCAGGCCATAGTTGTTGGCCGGGCGGGCGATGAATGGGTTGGGGCGGAAAGCTTTGTAGTTGACTAGGTGCACGGAAAGACCTCGATTGAGTGAGTGGCCTGGGTCGAAGAGACTTCCTGAATAAGGAAAATGGTGTAGACCGCATGCCCGGCATCTCAGACAGCGTTTTGATGACGGCTTGTGGTCTCACAAAGACATCGCAAGTTGTTGATGCTGTTGAGCTTGTGGTCGGTCGTCACTATTTAAGATTATGTAATTAAAATATATTTAGCCAATTGCATGTTTTGAAACATTTCATTGGCTAACTTTAATGTAAAATCTTAAATAAAAGAACCAATAATAGTGTACTGACGCTCTAATTTTTACTCTAACAATATGAAGATGTTGGAGCAAGAAGCAGAAGTCTCTTTCCTCTCCTTCGATCAACTCAGTCTAATTTATATATTCCAAAGGCTTCTTCGGGTGACTATCTAACTATTCAGGGCATCATTTATTACCTCGTATCGACTCCTACACACTAACACAATACCTGTTAATTAGTGTCTGGTCATAACTTTCCTGCTTCAATCCTTACTGTCATCCAAGGCAGGGATTTGAGGATGCGGTTAAGCCTGCAATGTCAACCATTTAGCCAGTTTATCCTCATTCAATACGGGCGGTTAATGATGCCATACCTTCTTATACCCTCAACTATCAGTTCTTCCTCATTGGTGTATACAAGCCGGAACCAACCTGGCTCCATCCCATTCTCTTCGCTTGGATGGAGGAATAAGCCGCCTTCAGAGAACTTCTCCGCTAGAGCGAATTCCTTATCTTTCTGTGTCAATGGCTGAGAGGGGGTGCTAGGTGGTAGATATTTTGACAGGTCCAACCAAACGAAACATCCAGCATTCCTATCCAGCGAATTTTATTTTAGCCCTATCCTTTTTAATCCGATAATATATCACCAGCCGGAGGAAGGCTTTAACTCACGTTCCTTGCAAATAGGGAATATCATGCTGCCGGAGAAGTCCGGTAACAAAGCGGTAGGCTTTGAGTACCCGATTTTGGGTATTCTGAAGGTAAGTTGCCGCGAATTTTTCATCATTCAAAATAGTGGCTGAAATGTCTAGAGAGATTCCTGATGGGTTAATCTGTCGTCTAAAATCCAAAGTGGCTGTTAGGTTTTTAAAAATACATATTGTTCATATGAGTCCAAACTTACGAAGTGGAACGGATGGCCTTTACTACCAATGGATTTCTGGTAATCAGACAGCCTACTCGGAGTCCTGGAGCACAGAAGTCCTTTTGGGCATTATCGTCAGCGGTTATCAGGCAAGCTATTGCGAATAGTATCATGCTCACCTTGCTCATCCCATATATAACATGAAGAAGCTTTTCATCCATTAGCCCCTCAGTGTTGATACTCAAAGTGGAAACAAACGGCATCGCTCCGCTTTCCTGAGAATCGAAAACAGAGAGTGCATATATCTCGTCACTGATCAAGTGAATTTGATACTTCTGACATAACTTGAATAACTCTACAAGAGTTTCGCGGGGATAACATCGTCCTGCTTCGCATCAGCGTCTAACGTCTATATGCTGGAAGA